TTTTTTTTTGAGACAGAGTCTCGCTGTATTGCCAGGCTGGAGTGCAGTGGCATGATCTCAGCTCACTGTAACCTCTACTTCCCGGGTTCAAGTGATTCTCCAGCCCTAGCCTCCTGATTAGCTGGGACTACAAGCGTGAGCCACCAAACACAGCTAATTTTTGTATTTTTAGTAGAGACAGGATTTCACCATGTTGGCCAGGATGGTCTCAATCTCTTGACCTCATGATCCGCCCACCTCGGCCTCCCAAAGTGCTAGGATTACAGGCATGAGCCATTGTGCCCAGCTGGAATATTTTCTATTTTAACCTTTCCTCTTAAATGATATAATATAGGATCTAGAATCAGGTCTGAGTTTGAATGTGCACTCCATCTCTTAAGAGAGATTGCTTTTTTAAAACATGTTTTGAGACAGAGTCTTGCTCTGTCACCTAGGGTGGAGTGCAGTGGTGCAGTAATGGCTCACTGCTGCCTCAGCCTTCTGGGCTCAAGTGATGCTCCCACTTCAGCCTCCTGGGCTCAAGTGATCCTCCCACTTCAGCCTCCCAAGTAGATGGGGCCACAGGTAATTTTTGTATTTTTTGTAGAGATGGGCTTTCCCTATGTTACCATGGTTGGTCTTAAACTCCTGAGCTCAAGTGATCCTCCCACCTCTGCCTCCCAAAGTGCTGGGATTATAGGCTTGAGCTACTGGACCAGACCTAGAGATTTCTTTCTTTTAGTTTTTTTTATTTTTGAAATGGAGTCTCACCCTCATTGCGCAGGCTGGAGTGCAGTGGTGTGATCTCAGCTCACTGCAACCTCCGCTTCCCGGGTTCAAGCAATTCTCCTTCCTCAGCCTCCTGAGTAGCTGGGATTACAGGTGTGCGCCAACATGCCTGGCTAATTTTTATATTTTTAGTAGAGATGGGGTTTCACCATGTTAGCCAGGGTAGTCTCGAACTCCTGACCTCAGATGATCCACCTGCCTTGGCCTCCCAAAGTGCTAGGATTACAGGCGTGAGCCACCGTGCCCGGTGAGATTACTTACCTTTTTTCTTCTGAGATGGAGTCTCACTCTGTTGCCCTGGCATGTGATCTTGGCTCACTGCAACCTCCATCCCCTGGGATTCAAGTGATTTTCCTGCCTCACCCTCTGAGTAACTGGAATTATAGGCACCTGCCAACATACCCAGCTAATTTTTATATTTGTATAGAGACCGAGGTTTCACCATGTTGGCCAGACTGGTCTTGAACCCCTGACCTCAGGCACTCCACCTGCCGGCCCCCCAAAGTGTTGGGATTGCAGGTGTCAGCCATCATACCTGGCCG